AGCTTTCAAACAATTTTTGATCACCTCATAAAGACCCTCACGAAAGGGTACTTCTAGAACTGCTTCAGAAAGTGGCAGAAATTATGGGATAAGTGTGTTCAAAGCAGGGGGGAGCATGAATGGAATTCATAGCATGATTTCTTTTACAGCAATAACTTTTTATTTAAACATTTATGGTGTGTTCTGATCTCCCTTTTGTAAAAGAATATCCTTTAGAACAGTGTAATGAAATGTAGCAAGAATTACTGTGAGTGCCTATAAGTTACAAAAAGGGGTTCTGATAAAATGAATCCATCTTCAGGTGCAGAGAATATTTCACTCCCTACTGCACATGTGTAGAATGACTGTGCCCCAAAGAGAGAGCTGTTGTGGCCCCATATCAGGTGTGGGGCAATAAGTATGGAATACTGCCCCGGATATTGTCATGATCACACTGAGCACATGGTGTGGGGAAGATAAGAGGGACTCTCATGACAGTAACATTGGCAGATGTTTGAGAGCTCTTGGCATTAGAGCAAACTTCAACTGGATGCAGGATTGCTGTAGTATCTTACTGATTTCTTTGTAATCACCAACCCCTTTACTGTTAACTGTGCTTTTGGCATTGACTGATTTTGTAAAAGAAAAAAGACTTACTTTGGTTGGGACATTGAAGGATTTGAGTTTTCCTCTGGGAGAGTGGTACTGTTGAAGAAATAGATGCTCTGAAATCAGACAGAATATTATCTACCCCATGGCACTCTTAGAGCCTTGACCCCTGCTCTGTAAAAGGCAGATGGTCTAATACTCCCTGTGTAGGCAGGGGTGGAAATTAAATGTGATGGCATTTGCAAGGAACTGGAGCCAAAATCTGTCATCTACAGTACTGACAATTCTTCATTGCCCCACATCCACTGCAGCCTCAAATTGACTGTATCATAAGGCAATGATCTTCCGTCTTTAGCACTAGGTGGAAAAAAGTGATTTTCTAATTGGCCACCATGTCCATTTTTACATACAGTGTGTCTCGGGTCTAGAGCTCACCAGACTCACCCTCACTGGGCCTGTCTTTCTCTCTGACATAGAAAGAGGAAGAGGAGTCAGAGAAGACCAGGACAAAGTGGAAGTACTTTTACCATAGGTATTGCAGGAATAGGAACAAAGCCACCTGGGGAAGAGCTGGGGTGTACAGAGCAGAGACACCACTGAATCTAGGATGGTGGTCCTGCTCTGTAGGGTAGGGGCTCCATCTCCACCCCCCTGAGGGTTGACACTTGATTGTGCTGGGTGCTAGGGGTTTGATCTTGTGAGCTATAGGGGAATTTTCCAGGGCAGCTTGTTTTGGTGAAGTTACTTACTTGAAGGGGAATTTAAGGAGGGCGGTAGCTTACACAGACACAAGTGTGAAACCGCAGGCTGTAGCCACATGGAGCCTGCATTCTCCACCCTCTAAAAGGGGTCTGGGTCTTTGAACCCTCCAAGGGGGCCCTTTTTGACTCTGCACCATGGTCTTCTGTTAGGCAGCATAAAGATTCAGTTTTCTTAAAGGTGACATTGGGGCTAGATGTGTCTCACTTCTTGGCAGTTCACAAATCTAGGGCTCTAACTGCAGTCGCCTCTCACTTCCTACCTCCTATGATGGACACATTCCTCTCATCCTCTTCTTCTATCCTGGACTCATACTAGCTATTTTCTTTACTTCTTTTCAGTGCTGAAATACTTTAAGAAATTGTTTTAGTTTATTATTAGTTTTAGATAGCTTTGAGATATTTTAACTGTAAGGGTAATACATGTATACTCTCTCCTTGTCTCAAAACTTTAAAATTGCAAGTGGAGCTAAAATTGCAGATACAGCTGGAAACCCATTGGATTGCTCAGCCAAGTATGTTTCTTGACTCACTGTTTTCAGAGGTAATGCTGAGCACTTTGGTGTATATCTTTCCAGATTCTTTTATTTTCTTTCTATATAAATTTAAATAAGTAAAATCAAAGAAAATATTGAAGTTTTAAAAACTCTTCCCAATAGTATATGGTACTCATGATCCTATATTTATTCTTTTAAATATACCCTGCCAAAAGAGCTGCGTTCATACCTGTAAAATTACCCACATTTTAAACTTCTGTATAATGTTTCTTAGACTATGGGAAAGTTTACATTGCTCTTCCTCCTTTGGAAAGTATTTATTTGGAGTCTTGTTTTTCCTCATTGTAGACGATAATGAAATTATGTATGTATATACAGGATAGATAACATGGTTGTTCTTCTGTCTTCTATTTCTATGCTGAAAGAAACTGTCAATGAGTCTTTGGTTGACCAGTATTGCATGTCTATATCTGTTTTCATGAGAAGCCACTTTGAAGATATCAATATGTAATACAACCACCATTATTAATTCCCTACCACTTTGTTTGTAACTCTGTATTGTCCGTATTGTGCTTGTGATATGTTGTAAAATGTTGTATGTCTGTTAAAAAAAAAAAAAAGAAATGAACATCATTATTATTCTCTTCTGTGTAGAAATTTTCTGAGCCATTAGACTACTAAAATTTTCAGTAGTAATTGGTGGAAAGTTACCATGTAGGGGCTCTTCCTTTGGACTTGCGCCTTTAGCATTTTCTCTCACTGCCGCGTTAGTAGTTTGATTTTCATATTTCTTGCCACTTTCTCTACTTGATGGGGGAAAGTTGTATAATATTCATGTTTCCATTCAGTTTCCGTGATTGTTCAAGAGATTAAGCATCTGGCATGTACGCGGGGCTGTGAGATTCTCTCTTCCTGCATGGCATTATAGATCTTCTACCTTGCAGTCCAGTGAGTATTTACTGTGTTTATTCACCAGTTCTGGGAGTTCTCTGTATGTTCTGATTTGCACCCAAGGTACTATGTGGTGGACCATTTCCCATCTGAATGGAATAATTTTATTGAAGGGTGAATGTTGGCACTCATTCATTTAAACTAATAATATATAATACAATTTATCTAATTTTCTTTACTGTTAATGATTTGTATGTTTTGTTTAAGAAGACCATTCCTATAACAAAGTCATCATTTTATTCTTTACTATTTCTTGTCGTGTATTTATAGTTAAGATTCTTTTAGTTAAAGTAGTCTGGGGTAAAATTGCAGTATCATTTACTTTTTCAAATTCTTTAGATACTGTAATATATTATTTTTAAAGAAATATTTACTCATGCTCACTGGATGTATGTTAATAAATCAGCTCATGGTGTGCCTAGCTTTTCTATAGGAACAACACCTCTCTGTTTGTTTTAATGATAATGGCTTTATAATTTGTGTTGATATCTGGCCTCGAAATTTTCTTCTTTTCCTTTTCAAACTTCTCTTGGCTACTTTGCAACAGTTTTCTTTTTCATAAATTTTAGTTTGGGTTGTCCCATTGAAATATTTTAAAAGTATGGTTGGAATTGCATTAAGTTTACCAAATAACTTGATAAACATTTTAGATCAATTTGCCTAAGTAAAGCAGGAGCAAGCCTGTTCTCTGACCAAATCAGCTTAGGGACCCATGGCAAAGAAACAGACCACATACCCTTGAATGCATGAACATCTTCCAAAACGGAGGAACAACAGAGTCATGGTAGCCATGGAGGAGGGTTGAGTGTGGGCAAAGTCTTTATCAGGAAATAAGAAAGCAGTAAGTAGCCGCTCAAAGGAAAGTTGGTGAGGACATATCACAAACACAGGGTACTTATGGGAGAAATAGTGTATCCTAGTACCCACATGGTGGCTTTATGTGTATCTGCTATTCCAGCTTGGAGAATGGTCAAGAAGGTGTTCACTTTCCAAATATGAACTGATTTTCTTTTCAGAATGAGATGAATCTTTATGAGCTGAATCTTCTGATTCATAAGATGTATAGTCTGCTAAAAAATGTGTACACACTTCAACAGCTCACTGTGCTAAGAAATGTCTGGAAGCTAATGGCCCCACTTTGAGCATCACCACTTGTAATTGTAGAGGCCAAAGGTAACTTGTATTAACCTCATGATGCCTCAGTAAATTTAGTATTAGTATAAGTATATGAGTTTTCCTTTTCCTGATATGTACATTTTTTGTCAGACTCTGTACATAGTTCTTCATGCATTTTAGTTACTTCTTTGTTTCAATAAAAGTTTTGTAATCGATTTTTTTTACATGAATCTTAAAAATTTGTTGCCAAGTTTATTAGGGTGATTTTGTCAATTCAAATTGATGTACATGATTTTTTCTGCTATAATTTATATTAGCATTTTTCATATTGACCTCCAATTACATTGCTGAAATCTTTCATATTTAAGAATGTATCTTAACTGACATATCTAGATTTTCTTATGGAAGATTATTTTGCCAGGAAATATTGGTAGTTTTATCATGGTACTTTTTAAATAATTCTTACCATTCTTTTTTTTTTAAATGAGAATTTGTGATCCCAAACAATGTTAGTTACCTAGGTTACGGGTGACTTTATAGTTTGTGATTATAAATGAATGTTTCTCTTATTTACCACTGTGCACATATATAGGTTCTAAAGATTTTTTTTTATTAATTTAAGCATTTAAAAAAATTTCTGGTATGGAAATGCTTTCTGAAAACAGGATTTTATTAAGTTCTCTTTCAAGTTTTTAGTGAAATAGTGGTAACACTCTTTTCCTTAGGTTGCTAAGAGTAGTGAATAATTTCATAGGCATTCTAGTCTTGGGTTTTTTCCAGTACTGGGAATCAAACTCATGACCTTGTGCTTGCCAGGCAGGCACTGTGCCACTGAGCTACATCCCCAACCCCAGGCATTCTAGTCTTGAACCATTTCTTAGACTCAAGTTTTCTGTTTAAAACACTTAAGTCGAATTACTCTTAGGTTGTGATATATTTGATTTGCCAGTGTCTTATGCTGTTTTTAAATCAAGAATCCTAACTATGTTTCATTTATGATTTATTTTTCTGTAGATTGTTATGATTTTAAGACAGGTAATGTATTATCAATTCTCTATTTTGCTTTCACTCTAGAGACAAGAACCGACTGATGGCAGAAGAGAACTACACGCAGATCACGGAATTCATTTTCATTGGCTTAGAGTGCCAACCTCGGCTTCAGGTCCTCCTTTTCCTGCTCTTTCTGTGTTTTTATCTTGTTACCATGACAGCAAACTTGGGCATGATAATTCTCATCCGCATGGATTCCCACCTCCACACGCCCATGTACTTCTTTCTCAGCCACCTGTCCTCTGTGGACATCTGCTTTTCATCTGTGGTGAGTCCCAAGATGCTCACCGACTTCTTCGCTGAAAGGAAAGCCATCTCCTTCCTAGGCTGCGCCTTACAACAGTGGTTCTTTGGGTTCTTTGTGGCCATTGAGTGTCTTCTGCTGGCGTCCATGGCCTATGACCGCTACGTGGCCATCTGTAACCCACTCCTGTACTCAGTGACCATGTCCCGGAGACTATGTGCTCAGCTGGTGCTTGGACCCTACACAGCTGGTTTCCTGAACACCATGATTCACACAATAGCTGCTTTTCGACTTCCCTTTTGTGGCTCCAACATCATCAACCATTTCTACTGTGATATGTCTCCTCTTCTTTCTCTGGTGTGTGCTGACACTCGGATCAATACATTGTTGGTTCTCATTGTGGCCGGAACTATACTTGCCACGAGCAGCCTGACCATTGTCACCTCCTACTCTTTCATCCTCACTGCCATCCTGAGGATCCGCTCTGCTGATGGGAGGCGCAAAGCCTTCTCCACCTGCTCCTCCCACCTGACGGCCGTCTCCGTCTTCTATGGGACTCTGTTCTTCATCTATGTGCGGCCCAGTGCCATTTCTTCCCTGGACCTCAATAAAGTGGTGTCTGTGTTCTACACCACAGTGATCCCCATGCTGAACCCTCTCATCTACAGCCTGAGGAACAAGGAGGTGAATGCTGCCTTGGGCAGGACCATCAGCAAGAGCAAGTTCTTCATCCAGAACAGACTATAGATCGAAGAAAAAGCTCTCATACATACATGGACTACCAGGCCACTATTGAAAGCTGTTGAAGCTCTTACAGAATTTGGGCAATGGCATATTTCTTTCCTCACTTTTATTATGCTATCTACTTTTTTACCTTTATGATTTATTAATGCATTGGAGTTATACAGAAAAATAGGTTGCATTATGGCATTTTCATACATGTGCATAAGATGATTTTATCTGATCCAATCCCTCTGTAACTCTCCCAGAACCTCTTCTTCCCTGTCCAATCCAATAATAGTCTCTCTTCTACCTTCACACTCGCTCCACACTCCCCCTGAATTCCACAGATGAAAGTAAACATACACCTCTCTTTGGATCTGGCTGACTGAGCTTAACATTATGATCTGTGGTTTCATCTATTTTCTGGCAAATGAAGTGATTTTGGGAGGAGAAATCTCAGATAGGAACATGTGTGCTGCTCATAGTAAAGTAAGGAGACTTCTTTTTAAAAATTTTATTAGTTTTTCTCCTGTAAGGTAGATTATGAAGGTTTCAGTTGTAGTTATGAAGAACCCTCCTGTCATCCATGGTATACACACATCTGCTGGGATCCAGAGCTCTGTCTCCCGTGCCATGACAGAAGGAGACCGTGTCACCAGAATGGGTCATTGCTATGATCTGGGTTCATCAGCATCATCAGAATTCATGACATCTGCAGATTTCCATTTCCTCTCCATCAGTGTTTCTGAGAAATCTCTCTCTTATCTCACTCAACATATTAAAATCATTATCTTATGTTACTTCTAACTATATAAAGTAACAAACAAAAGAGTGTAACCAAGTTTTATACCTGCACCATCCGGGTTGGTGTTGTGTACCTGGGAAATTAGCCTGGAGTTACAGCGAGCTGCAGTGGCCTCGGAGGATTCCACCTTCCTGTCGCTGTGAGGATCAGTTCTGCTGCTTTAGGCACAGGATCCTCCCAGGCTTTTGTGAGGCATGAGCTTCATGCTGAGCGGGAGTCACCTCTGCACGTATGAACTGTGTGCAGAGTCAGTGTTCTCCACTGGGAGGGCTTGGGAAGTGAGTCCCACCATCAGGGGAATTACCTTTAGAAGAGCAGCTAAATTCATATGCAGGAGAAGAGATGGGAAAGAAAAGGAGTTTTCTGGCAAAGCAAACGAAGTGGGTATCTAGCCATGAGGCTGGGCCACTTAGTAAAGCTTCCAGATCAAGGGGTGTGGGAGCAGCTACCCAAGCAAGATTCCCAGCAAGACAAGCCCTGCTGCCTGGAGCCCATGCTCACTATGATTCTGCACCAGATATCTTCTCTTTGAGCTCCACTTTGAAGTCTCTGTGCCCAGAAGGTTTAGAGCAGTCCCTGAATGGCTGCTTCCTCCTGCCCCATGGGCGGCAGCAGTAGCTCCCGTCTCCATGTTGAATGTTGCATGGCAGTGGTGCCCAAATTAGCAGGCATCAGAGCCCAGTTTCCTATAGACAGTTTTCTCTCAGACTGCAGTGTGTGTGTGTTTTTAGGAACTTTTTGGTGTTTTTGTATTATTATTTTTTCTAGTACATGTTTGTCGTGGATAACATTTACATTTCTTGTGGAGAACAGGTATATGATCATAATACATCTTATTTCCTTCTTTTTAAAAAAAATTAATTTTATTGGTACATTTTAGGTACATATAATGATCACATTAATCAAAGGAAATTTGTACATAATATATCTTGATTCTTTTATTCCCAGTCCTACGTCCTCCCTTCAACCCCTCTGCCCTTCCTTATTTGTGAAAGCTTCTTTTCCATTTTTTTTCTTTTCTCATGTTTTCTTTTTCCTTCCTTTCCTTGTCCCCTCCCCCTGCCTTATTCCCCTTCTCATTTGAACATTTTCTTCCCATTTCCTATTTCCCTTATTTACACTTTCAGTTTCTCAAACCAGAGAAACAATGTGGTATTTGTACACATGTGTCTGATTTATTTCACTTGAGTATAGTCTCAAGGTGCATCCATTTACCGAGAAATATCTCGTTGTCATTCTTTATGGCTGAGTAGTACTCCGTATTAAAAAAAAGGCACATCTTCTTTATCCATTCTTTGGTTGATGGGTATTTGGGCTGTTGTCAAGATTTATATACATTACAAACTGTGTTGCTATAAACATATATCGCTGTGGTCTGATCCTTCTAATTCTTCCAGGAAGATACCAAGAAGGGGAATAGCTGGATCAGATGGGACCTGTAGGAGACCATCTTTATAATTTTCTCCCTTGTATGAGCTTTGGGCTTGACTTGTTTTTCTAGAAGTTTGAGGTTCAACAGTATGTTATTTATTTGAACTTGCTCTGTTTTCCTGATGTGGGCACCTATCACTATAAATTTCCCTCATGGGACTGCTTGCATAAATTCTAGTATGTTATATTGACATTATCATTCAATTGTAGAAATGTCAAATTTCCCCTTTACTTTCATTTGTGACCCATTAGTTGTCCAAGAGGGTGTTATTTAATTTTTATTTTGTTCATGGACCCTTTGTGTTTTCTTTTGCCACTGATTTCCAATTTCTTTGCACTATAATACAATATGCATGGGGTAATATGCATGGGATAATTCCATCTCTTTTTACATTAACTTAAGCATGTTCTATGAGTTAGTATGTGGTCTATTTTGGAGAATGTTCCATGTGCAGCTGAGAAGAATATGCATTCTGATGTTGTGGTAGAACACTAAGTCCATTTGTTCAGAGGTTTGATTCACTTCTGTTTTTCTTTGTTGATTTTTTTGTCTAACTGATTTGTGCATTTGTGACAGTGAGATATTAAGGTTCCTTATTATAATTGTGTCAGTTCTTATTTGATTTTTCATATCCATTAATATCTGTTTTATATAGTTGGTTGTGCTGGTATTTGCTGTATGTATATTTATGATTTTTCTCTCTTCCTTTCTTGTAGTTTTCCCTTGACAGATGTGTAGTGATCTTCTTTGTTTCTCTTCATCAGTCTTAGCTTGAAGTTCACTTTGACTGCAAATAGATTATCTATGCCTACTTTTTTCTGTGTTCCTGTCACATGAAGTACTGTTTTCTTTTTTTTTTTTTTGGTTTTTCTCCAGTACTGGGAACCAAACTCATGACCTTGCGCTTGCCAGGCAGGTGCTTTGCCGCTGAGCTAAATCCCCAGCCCCATGTTTTCCATTCTTTGACTTTCAGCCTATAAATTTCTTTTTGACTTAAATGTTTCTTGTATGCGACATATTCTTGGATCTTGTTTCTTGATCCATTCTGCCAGTATGTTTCTTTTGATTGGTGAATTAAAAGCATTTACATTGATGGATATAACTGATATGCATTGGCTTGCCCTTATCATGATATTTTCCTGTTGTTGGTTCTCGGTCTTTCCCCTCTGTTTAATTGCTTGCCCCTCCTGGTGGATTGTTTCTATTGATGTTCTTGAAATTGTAGTCTTCGTTATCTCTTTCTAAAGTGTCCTTCAGAACATTTTGTATAACTCATTGGTGGTCTTAAATTTCTTCAGTTCTTCTTCATCATGGAAGTCTCTTATTTCTGCATTGCTTTTGAAAAATAGTTTTGCAGGGTACATCAATCTGGGTTGGAGGTTGTTTCCTTTTAGGATTTGAAATACTTCACTCCAAGCTCTCCTTGACTTAAGAGTTTGTGTGGAGAAGTCTGCTATGATTCTGATGGGCTGTCCTTTATAATTGATTGTTTCTTTTCTCTAAAGGCTTTTAATCTGTTCTTGTGCTGAATTTCTGGAATCTTGACTATTATATGCCTTGTTGTAGATTTTTTCAATCATGGCTAATTGGAGTTCTACATGCCTCACTTACTGAATATCAAATTCCTTTCCCATTCTTGAGGAGTTTTCCACCATTACTTCTGTGAACAGCTTTTTTTTTTATGGTGTTTGCATTATCTCTTGGTTTTTCACTGATTCTTATCAATCTTACGTGTTCCTCTTTGCATCATATTGCAGGTTTTGGATTTGTTTTTCATAGTGCCTTGATTTTTAAAAGAAATCTTTCTTTTTGCATTTGCTGACCACAGTTGTGTCTTCTAGATCTGATATTCTGTCCTCACCTTGCTTCATTTGGCTGCATATACTCTCACTGAGATTTTTATTCTCTTGAATATCTGTTTGAACTTGTTTAATGGATTCCATTCCTTTCCTGTATTAGGCATTCATGGTTTCAATCATTTTCCCAAGCTCCTCTTTTGTTTCAACTTGTGTCTACTCTAAACTCATGAAGCAGGTTCTACATTATGATCTGTAACTCTTTTTTTACTTGAGAGATTATTTCTGATATGATTTTCTTATAGTCTTATTCATTTTTTTTAACTTTAGATAATTCAGGTGGTTGTCTTCTGATTGCCTCTGTCTTATTGTCCTCTGAACTTGTCCCATGTGCGCTGGAGGTCCAGGTTGCATTTTGCTTCTATGTCTTGTTATTTTCTGTTTGTTAATATTTAATTTGTTTTCTGTGCTGATGCTTGTAAATTTCTTATGGTAGGTAGTTTATTACTAGTATTGAGGCTTCCCTAGAAAATGTCTATTCCTTGGAGATGTCATCTAGGTATAGCTGGCTCTTGGCATTTGTGTCTGTCCCAAGATCTTATCTTCCCAATTTATTAGGGATGAGAAGTTGCTAGCTATTTGGTCCAGCACACAGTCCTTTGGTACTGGACTATGGTGATGATTATGATCCCAGTGTTGTCATACAAGAGAGACTAACTGATTACAAAAGGTATGAGTCCTGGCTAAAGAAGTACAATAATCAATAACAAAAGCATCATGCACAGCCTAGGAACTGAAGAACTGTGGTAACTATTACTTTGGTAACTTTAATTATACATACAAGACCTACAGTTATATAACAGAAGCAGTATAAACCAGGAACTTGCATACAGTGTTTTCCCTTTGTAGAGTGATTTTACTGTGTGTGTGTGTGGGAGGGATAAGAAGGATAAGGGAAAATAGATATATGAAGAGAAATATAGTAGAAGCA